CTGGCTAACAGGTGCATCGTCATCATCGTCATCATTTTCATCATTGTCATCATCGTCGTCATCATCGTCATCGTCGTCGTCATCATCGTCATCATTCAACTCCTTCAATATTAATATTATACCATTATTTCTATTTACTTTTAGGCTTTTGCAAGGCAGACTGGAACGTCACTGTAACGGCAGGAATCAGCACGGTCAACATATCATGGCCTCCACCATCAGCATCCAGCCAAAATGACACTTCTTACTCTTATTTGGTTTTGTACAATTCCACGAACACAGGAGTTCAAAGCTTCACCAAATTGAAAAACTTGACATCAATTACGATCGACAATCAGTTTCAGTCTGACAACTTCTCCATTCAAGTTGTTGCTTTTGACATGAGAAACCACAGTATCAATAGTTGTCCAAAGATATTCAGAAAAACTCAAGGTAATTATCTACATCCAACACTCTTCACTTGAGCGTCGCTTGCTGCAACTCTCTAGTCAAGTTGTGTGGTTCACGTTTTTACATTATATTGAATTTACTCAATATTGTATGGGTATTCTTATTCTTTGCTCGGTCTGTGTGCTCTAATCATATCCTTAGTGTCGTTCGAGGGTATTCTTTAGGTTCTCTGGTTTTCGTATTCCTGCAAAATTCCACAATTTTGGCTATGTAAGAACCACCGTGTTCATAACCTGTACAGGCTATTAATTGCTACATGTACCTCGTAAAACAATGACACAATTTTAATTCTTTTTAGTTTAATTTCATTGCTTTACAAGCGTTTTTTTCATTATCGACAGCTGGCGTAAGGTTGGCAGGTGGGAAGGCACCCGGTGAAGGTCGTGTAGAAGTTTACCACAATGGTCAATGGGGAACAGTTTGTGATGATGCCTGGGGTTTCAACAATGCTAAAGTGGTCTGTCGTTCATTGAATCTACCAATAACTGACGTACTTTCATTCCGACTCGCAAGATTTGGTTTAGGTGTCGGTAGGATATGGTTGGATAATGTAGGGTGTACTGGAAGTGAGCCGTCGTTGTACCAGTGTCGCCATAATGGCTGGGGAGTTCAAAACTGTGGGCATAGCGAAGATGCCAGTGTTGTGTGTGGAAATCCAAGGCGTGAGTATATATAGTTATCTATAGAATATATGGGTATCTTATACTCACTAACTATTCATGAGCTCATCGACCAACCAGGGTTTCTTATTTGTACCACGTGCAGTAGTTTGAAATCCCCATCAAATAGGACCGCACCGATTTCAAAGTTCTAGTACTTTGAAATATTTCAGAGTCCTACTACTCGGACTTTGAAATATTCCAAAGTACTAGAACTTTGAAATAAAAACAAACATAACAAAAAGAGTATAAGATGTCGTGTCAAATACTCGTCACTGTATTCTATTTCAAAATCCTCGGCATTTGAAATTCCACTCGGATTTTTGAAACCGCAATTGAATACAGCAACTCGTATTTGAAACATTATATCAATTGCCAGTAAGTTTTAAGATACCTCTTTACTCTCCGATGGCTTTCGCGTTGATCTACTTCAGAAAAACGAAAACACTGTGCAATATGCGAAGTCAAGCTTTAATCTGTGCAGCCCTTCATACTAAAGCAACACACCATCCATCCATCCCATCCCATCCCATCCCATCCCATCCCATCCCATCTAGTAGTATAGGGAATGGGGGTTCCAGCGCAATCTCAACACGGGCAAGACCCGTGTCAAAAATCCACCTACGGAAACAACCCCACTCAAGTGTGGTTGGGGGCAACAGCGCAAATATGTTAGTCTATATATGGAGTGCGAAGAATGTAA